TTCTTGTCAATAATCCTGAGTTGACTTCGTGTCTAGTCCTATGCTATTACTTGAGTTAAAACAGTTTTCTCTCTCCGGCTGTCTGTCTTTTACATGAAAGCCAACAAAATAAACATTCAGGACCTCAAAACACTATCTTTAGTATAATAGACACATCAAAAGGCCTCCTGGACAAGCCTAAAGTGGTTTCCCAAATGACGTGGGTGGTCTGCTCTCCCCAAGCAGAGGCCCCTGGCCAGCCTGGCCCTGGGCCTTTATGGCTGTGTTTATGTCCCAGGCCAGGAGAGGCAGCTACTCCAGAACAATCACTCTGACTACTTGTGCAAAGTGTAGCCAACTAAGAGACAGTAGATAAGCAGGTTTGTGTGTGTGTGTGTGTGTGTGTGTGTGGTTTTTTGTTTTTTGTTTTTCTTTTTACTGACAAGTCTATCATGTCCACATTTAGAATTCCACACTTGGCTATAGAGTCTAGCCCCCTTGGCCTGAGAGTGGTGGGTCTCCTCCCCATGCTTGACTTGGGACCTTTCTGTTCCATCCACCCTTTCAGCCTTTTTTCTGATCCTTTCTGAGAGATATCTGGTTTTTCCCTCCTCCTCCTGTTTTCCCCCACCCTGCCAGTTCTTTCTCTTTCTCTCCCCACCCTCCCCGAGAAGCGTGGTCCCAGCCCTCTGCCCCTGGTTCAGTTCTTTGGCCCTGGTTCATCACTGCAAATGACCATTTTTGCAAATGCTTGTGTTCCTTCACCATGCACAACCGTTCTTCAGAACTTTCCTCCTGGATTTCTTTAAAGAGGAGGAGTTCTTTGGGGAGGGAACCTCAGAGCATCCAAGTCCTAAGTAATCCTAAGAAGAACAAGGGAAGGAGAGCATCTGGATGGAAGAGCACCCATCCCCCTAGCACCCAGAGCCCTGTAGCCACACCCAGCGGGCCCCATGAGATAGAGGAACCAAGGATGGGTGAGGGGGCCACTCACTTGTCACTGTGTCAGAAAATAAATGTTTTGGCCAAAGATTTCCCTTCAAGAATGCTCTGACGTTTGAAGGAAACATTTTTCTGAATCACTTCCTCAGGGGAAACTGCTCAGCTATCTCAGGAAAGGCAATATTCCTCCTTCTGAGCCCAGTATACCACTTTGACTCATAGAGGAGATGTGCCTGTGTATTAATGAAAGTGTTTTCCTGACTCCTGCAAAAATCAGCTTACACGCATGGGTGTGTGTGTGCGCACGCACGTGCATGCATGTGTATGCATGTGGATCTGCATTTGTATGTGCACATGTGTATTTGTATTCATGATTGTACGTGTGTGTCAGCCTGTGTGTGTGTGTATGTATGTACACACGCGCGCTTGTGCATCGTAACAGATCACAGGGGAGCCTACATAGAAAGAGGAAGAAGGCAAAGGCTCTCCTCCTGGAAGCCAGCTGAAGGCTGTGCTTTCAGGGACGCTGAGGATTCCACACAGGGCCTACTGCGACTCTCCCACAGCTGAGAGCCCACAGGCATGTGGCACCAGGAAAACAGTCCACGTGTCCATGTGCCATCACTGGCTGAGGCAGGTAAAACTGTCTCTCAACCTGCATCCCCCTGCCACAGGGGGACCTCATGCCCATGCTGCCCCTCCCCACCCCTGCTCAGAGCCACCCTAGACTCTGCACTGACACCATGTCTGGCCATTTCTTATTTTATAGCATAAAGAATTTTAGAATTAGGGTGATCAATAAGGAAATGATTTCAATTTAAAGATTTGGAGCAAGGACCCTAAATGTTCTGAGCTTCAGTGTCCTTGTGACATGATGATAATGTCCCTTCCTCAAAGAAGTCAGCATATGTGGAGCAGGTTAGCAGATGCATGTAAAACTAGCCTATTACATGGCCTGAAGCCAGGGTAGGGGGAGTAATAAGAAATAGAATTTTCCTTTAACACCTGCCTTCACACCTGTGACCATCAGCTCCCCACCTTACCGCCCCCCCCATTCTTTGACATCTTTACCTGTTCTTATACCTCTCAGTACCTTTGGAGATTGAATTGGCCAGTCCTGTCTCCTCTCGGGCTTGGCCTGAGATGCAGGGACCCACATTGAGGATAGGGGGATACATTCGCCTTATTTCCCATTTCATCCTCCCCCTAGTTCAACCCTTTGGCTGTTTCTGGGCTCTTCCTTCCTTCTTTCCCTGACACATTGATGTCTAGGGGGTTGACATGAGAGGTTGAAATGGGAGAAGAGAACACAATCATACCTGACCAGCCCTCCCATAATCCCAAGATGGGCTACCTCCAGAAGGGCCTAAATGATACCCTCTCATGGGGCATATTTATGAGAGCTTGGGAAGCCCCACCAGGCCCTGAGCACTGCGCTATGCCAGAGGAATGTGAGTGCCACACCCCGGCTCACCTCATGTGGCACCCTTCAATTCCTGCCCACTGTGGTTCACCCCAAGGCCTCTTGCTGCCACCTCCTCCCCAGGAGGCAGCTTACCTGTGGTCACTCAGGAGGCTCACTCACCCTTGCCACTCCAAGTTCCAGGAGTTAAGTCTTGCTACCCTTTCTTGCCCCCTCTCTCTCATCTGCCATCCTGGATGATTCCATCTACCCATTTTCCTTCCAGATTCTCCAGGCAGGAAAGCAGGTGCTGGGCTCTGATCTCCTAGGTCCCCCAGCCTCCTGGGGCCAGGTCAGGCCCTCCCAGAAATTCCAGGGCACTGGGATGGGCAGCACACAAGTCTCATCAGCTCAGATCACATGCCTGAGGAGGGTCACCAGCCACCCCTTCTGGCAGGTTCTCATTGCACAGATGACAGGACCCCTCCAGAAGATTCTAATTTGGCCGGTGGCAGGGTGGGTGGTTGGAAGTGAAATGTGGGAAGGACAGGGAAAACACCACAATGCTCCCCTCCAGGTGAATCCCTCATATACAGACACACACCTGTATAACTCCTTCACATTTCTAGGCGGCCTGCCCACACAGGCAGACAGCTGCGGGAGGGGAGAGGTTTACGGGGCAACTTTGCACTTGCATACCTCTCTAGATAGCCCAGATTTTCAGGCAAAGTTGAGTATGTGGCTGAGAGTTGAAAGTGCAGGCTGAGGGGCAGGGTCTAAGCTCACAGCCTGAGAAAGCACCAGGGGCAGGGTAAGCACCTAAGATTCCTTGGAAGACTGAATGAATGGAGGAGGAAATCAAGCTAGCTATGAATGTGGAGCGAGAAGAATGTAAGCCTCAGAGTAAGCTTCAGAGCCAAGAAAAGAAAAAGAAGATGGGAAGGACAACTTCTTTTTATTTAAGATTTTATTTATTTATTCATGAGAGAGAGAGAGGCAGAGACACATGCAGAGGGAGAAGCAGACTCCATGCAGGGAGCCCGACGTGAGACTCGATCCCGGGTCTCCAGGATCAGGCCCTGGACTGAAGGCGGCGCTAAACCGCTAAACCTTGAGCTACCCAGGCTGCGGCAAGGACAATTTCCATGTTATTCATGTATTCCCAAAATCTGAATTCTGTGGCCTGACCCTAATTCCAAAGTCTTATGAACCAAACTCCATGCAACTCAATCTCTTGCTGATCTTTTTCTTCTTTTGACGAAGACATAGCCCGTATTTGCAAATGCAGTTTGCTGAGGAAACAGAACCCACTTTAGAGAAATTTGATAGGACCATCCATTTAATCCAAGACTGTTTGGTTTCAGAAAACTGAAGCCCTCAGAGCTAAAGAAAGAGGCTTCGGCTGAGGAAGCCAAGGTGGTTCAGGGTTCGCAGCCCAGGCAGCACTCTGGAGGAATGGCAGCCAAGAGCTGAGAGGACAGAAGCCGGGGTCAGGGCCTTCTAGCTCACCAGGCCACAGGCCCCTGTCCACACTGCTGCCTGACACGGACCAGCTGTTCATCACCCTTCTGACTGAGCAGACCAACTAAACTCCCTGGGTCCCAAATTCAAAGTGTTAAGAAGGGGCCTAGCTTGGGCCAACTGTCCATACCTCCAGGCCCTCAGCTCTGGCCAGAGGGTGCTATCTCAGAGCCACCGAGCAGGGCTCAAGGGAGCAAACAGAGCAAAAGGCTGGACCCTCATGGAGTGCACCCACCCCTTGCATCCCCACCTCACAGCCATGGAACGGGCTGGAGACACAGAAAGCCCTCGAACTCTAATGCCTCTCTTGCTCATCTCTGAAATGTAGGGAGTAGAGGGTACCAGGTTTGAACATTGTTTTCCTCCAGAGCCTCTGAGTCCATAACTACAACAAACTGCCCCCTAGACTCTTTAAATGAATACTCAGCCTCACTTTCTTCCTTGCCTTCAGAAAAGCCACGAGCTCAGGGATCCCTGGGTGGCGCAGCTGTTTGGCGCCTGCCTTTGGCCCAGGGCGCGATCCTGGAGACCCGGGATCGAATCCCACGTCGGGCTCCCAGTGCATGGAGCCTGCTTCTCCCTCTGCCTGTGTCTCTGCCTCTCTCTCTCTCTCTCTCTGTGACTATCATAAATAAATAAAAATTTTTTAAAAAAAGCCACGAGCTCAAAAAACAAAACTAAACACACACACACACAAAACAAAAACCTGACATTGAACACTTTAGGGTAAATTTCTCTGTAATTCCCTCATAATACCAAAAATCATTCAAAGCCACTTTACTGTCAGAAAAGAAATATCTATGCATACAATTAGATCATTTAAGCCAAATGCCTTTTTAACAACATTTCCCAATTAAATATTCAGCAGAGATAATGTTAAGTCTGACGCATTACATCCAGTTTTTTAAAAAAAATCTGAGCTGAAAGAATCCAAAATGTGGAATATGAGAAATTAAAATGGAAGTACCACAGCATCCAACGGTTGTCCGTAAGGGCAGAACCACAGGTCAAAGTCACATCTCCCCGGATTTGCTGGCATTTAACTAAATGCAAAATGTCAGCACAGAAAATGGCTTGTTCAATGCAAATATTAACAAGACAGGAGTGTGTCAGTGTGTAAATGGAGCTTCAGCCTGCCACGGCCTTTCCGACTTACCATTCACAGGCAGTCCAAGGTAGCAAGGGAACTTTCTTTTTGCTTGTTGTCATCCCTTTGCTGGGGGTAAAGCTGTAAGACATTCGTGTCATGGGAGAAAGGGAAGACAGATTCAGGAACCAGGAAGCAAAATGGTTTTGTTTGCCTGTGGTGGGCTCAGTTATCCTATCCATCCTATCCTATCCTATCCTATCCTATCCTATCCTATCCATCTTATCCGTCTACCATACTCCTATTCTATCCTGTTCTATTCTATCCTATCCTATCTTACCATACTCCTATCCTATCCTATCTTACCCTAGCCTAGCCTACCACACTCCTATCCTATCCTATTTCTATCCTACTATACTCCTATTCTATTCTGTTCTATTCTATCGTATCCTATCCTATCATACTCCTAGCCTAGCCTAGCCAATCCTGTTCTAGCCTATTCTACTCGTATTCTGTTCTGTTCTATCCTATTTTATCCTATCCTATCCTACCATACTCCTATTTTATCCTATCCTACTCTGCCCTACTCTATTCTTACTCTATTCTCTTCTTATTCTACTCTATTCTATTCTATTATTCTACTCTATTCTATTCTGATTTTTTTCCTGCACACATTCAGAGGAGACTGGCACTTAGCAACGTTAATTTTATCAAGACAAGGGAGAAGGCAGAAGAGTAAGAAAATTCTTTTCCTCTCCACTGCGCAAAGGAGGTTTAGTGGTAGCTCAAAGCTGCACATTTAGCTTTTTGTCCTTACTGTGTTCTGCACAGAGCATCCACAGAAAGATCTTCCTACTGGCGCCTTCCCCAGCTCCCTGCATTTGCAGTCTTGCTCTGAAAAGGGACACTCACATGTGAGTCTGATTCAGTGACAGGTGGAAATCTTCGTGCCAGGCTTTCAAATGGAAGGAGCCTGGATTCAAGGGACGAGGAGGAGTGATGTCTGCCTGGTCCTCTCCGAGATAGTGTTTTGGTGGATCCACCGCCCGGTAGCCATCAGACCTGTTTGGCAGCCTCAGAAACCGGATGCCCTTGGCCCCCTGAGAATGGCTTGGCTCTCTCTTCCAGCTCAACAGAGACTTAAATCGACAAACCAGGATGACTAATCAGACTAATGCAGAGTGATGCCAAACATTCCCACTAGCCTGACTATCACATTCTCAGCTTATGAGCAAATGACACGGGCAGCCACATTAGCTGACAGTGGCTTGGTGTTTAGAAGGAAGACGGGCTTAATTGGAGCATTAAGGGAGTTGCTGGAACCATACTAGATGGTGCATTCGCCAAGTTGCCAGCAAAGTTGCTGAACTAGCCTTGGAAAGCAGGTAAAATCAGAGGGCAGCTGGGGAGCCAGACCAAAGCCAGGGAGAGCACCAGCTTCAACTGCCAACAGATGACACTCAACTCCTTTGATTGCTGGCGTCTGCTGGCAGTGATGTTCGGCCACTGTGGCTGCTGCCAGAAAGAATCCCCAGTCCCCCCTGGCTTCAGATTCCAATCTATGGCAGGTATATCTAACCGGCTGAGCCTGAGTTCACGTGGCCTACCATGAGGCATGTTGGAAAGGCCATCATCTTAGTTTGGGTTTCCCCAGGACATAATTCTGTGATAAGGATTTCAACACAAGTAGTTTCTTTGAGAAGTGATCCCAGGAAGTACCAGTAGGGAAGCAAGATACTGAGACAGGAAAAGGCAAAGCCAGTCAAGGACACAGAATGAAGCAGGTCACCACTGTGGACAGCTGGGGACTCCTCCCCAGGCACCTCTGGGAGGCAGTATAGACCCTCCTGGGGTTGTGCACTTGAGGGGTGAGCCCACTGGAGTCTGGATGCACCAATTCCCATCTGTCATTAGTTGAGGGTGGCCTTACCCCCCAGGGGATATCAACGTCCCCGCCAGTCCAGCCTGCCCTGTATGGAGTCACATGTGCTTACATTGGCACATACAAGAGCCGTGAGTTCCAAGTGCTTATGCGTGGGCACAACAGCATCTGCTGTAGCAAGTGCCATGCATTTTTAGTTCCTCGGAGTGACAGGGGGTCTGCGTCCTACCTAGATTCAGAGAAAGGAGGTTCAGATGCTGGACAACCAAAAATATAGCAACAACTATGAGTGGCTTTAATCCTCCAAATGCCCTTTCACTTGCTTGCTCTGGCTGCTGCCCCACCCAGCCCCCAGAACCACAGGAGTGACCACTTTTTAAAATGGCCACTGGGCTCTGCTAATTGGTCCAGAGTAGCATCTGACCCTAAGAAAAGTGGGCATGTGACATTCTGGAAGTGTATGGAGGGGAGTTCTCGGAGTAAGTGCTGGTGGGAAAGTGAGGGAAGCCAAGTCGGGCTGGGCCACGGAGGAACTCGTGCTGCAGTGCCCACCACCGAGCAGAGGGGGACTCTCAGAATTGTCCCAAGTTGGGGTGAGAGCCTTGGTCCTGTGCATCCCTAACCGATTGGTTAAATGCAAGCTGCCCTGGGGAGAAAGCTGAGGCAGCCCCCACTGGGGCTGTCGGTGAGGCCGAGGCCTATCTCAGCAGCTGGGGGAGTCAGTCTTGTGGTTTTGAAGGGGAGCCCAGGCAGCAGTCACTACGTGACCTGACTAGAGATCTGGCAGAAAAGCCTGGGTGAAGACTCTCTCCTAGCAGAGGGAACATCTTGCCTAGCAAGTCATAACAACGGACAGGCCTTCCTTGCTTTATTGTGCCACCTGTTGTCGCGCTTTAGGGATTGTGGGGTGTTTGTTTTGGGGTTTGGGGGGTTGCCAAAATTGAAAGTTCAAAAAATAAAATAAACATTGAATGTTTGTGGAAACCATGCATCAAGCAAGTCTGTGGGCACCATTTTTCCAACAGCATTTGCTCACTTCATGTCTCTGTGTCACATTTTGATCATTCTTGCAGTATTTCCAACTTTTTCATTATCATTACATGTGTTACAGTGATCTGTGGTCAGCGATTAAGACTCCCCGAAAGCTCAGATGATGGTTAACATTCATTAGTAATGAAGTATTTTTTGTGTAAGATGCATGCACTGTTTTTATTAGACACACTGCCATTGCCCACTTACTAGACTATGGTATAGAGTAAACATAACTTTTATGTGCACTGAGAAACAAAAAAGTTCATTTGACTCATTTCATTGTGTTACTGGCTTGATTGTGGTGATCTGAACTAGAACCTGCCTTACGTCCACAGTGTGCCTGGGCTGAAGGCTCGATGCTTAGTGCTCTGCAAGCGTCACCCTCCATTATCCCCGTCTGAGATTGGAACTGCGCCCCTATTTTACAGACTGAGAAACTGGAGCTTAGAGCCTTATGGAACTGGCTCAAGATCATAGAGCTAACAAGTGGCTGAGCTGAGATTCGAAACACACCTCCTAAGTCTGGAGCTGGTGCCTTTAGCCTCTTTGCCAGGGCTGGGACTCGGAAGAAGCAAGGGAGGCACCCAGGGCCCGCTCACTGTCAAGGGCATGACCCTGACAGTGAAGGCCTCCGTAAAGCTGTGCCCTTGGTGTGTTGCTTGCCTCACCCGAGTCCCAGAGCCCTGCTCTTGGCCCCTCGGCAGGGCGACCCTGTATACCCGAGGATCCCAACGCAAGACCTCTTCCCTGGAGTTGCTCAGTGATCTCCACCATCCTCTGCTTCCAGGTCTCATTTTTCTAGAAGTCTCCATGGCTGACGAACTGCTGCTGCTTCTGTTGCTGCTTCTCCTTCTCCCTCCTCTTCTTTTAGTTTTTTTCCAGAGTTAAGATATGGGGTTAAATTTATTAATTTAGTGTTTCCTGATTCCCAATCACATTCTGGGGCTGCGTCCTAGGACATGTTCCTTCTCACCTTAGGTGGGCATTTTGGAGCTCATCCCTTCTCCAGTTGGCCCATCACAGATGACAAATCACACCAGCTCTGTGCAAGTTGCACTAGCCTAACTGGGAAGGCAACCCTATAGCTACTACTTGGCAGACTGGAGGGGATTTCACAGTGGCCCCCATATATGGACAGCCCCTGGTAATTCCTTTCCTGCCTATGAAGAATGCTCAGACATCCCTGACGCCCTCAGCGCATCTCACCGTGGTTGTCGCTGGCTCGCCGCTCTCCCCTCCGGGCCAAGTCCCTGCGGACCCTGTGGTGGATTGCGCCCCTCCCCCACCCAAGGGTGCTCAAGATATATTTCTCGAATGAAGATTAACGGGCCCTCCTTAGAGTTTAGCTCAGGTGAAACTGCTGTCCTAGCTGAAGTGAAAACCCTGCCAGGCTTCCATCTGTTTTTAAATGATAGAAGGGCATTCCTACTCTTTGGGGAGAAACCGCAAGGATTTAATGGAATGCTCCAGCAATTGAGGCTACGGATGATCTGTTGACATGGTCTAAAGGGTTGTAGGTTGTTTAATGTCTTCCTGTACCATCAATTCTGCACTTTGTACCGACTCAGCAAATTGGTATGAATTTAGGCTACTGACAAGGACCTTGGAAATAATGTGGCTTCTGCAGGTTTAAGCAAGGGGAGAACTTGAAAGCAGTTCTGACAAAGTCTGAGATCAGAACCTCTGCAACCCAATACCTCTGTGGACTTGGCCCCAGATAGACCACAACAGCACATGTGCATTTCCTGCCTCTGGTGCCCCTGCCCAAGAGTTCCAAACCTGCCTCAGGGTGCCGGCCCCCAGAGATTCTACAACCCTCACCTGCCCCCCCATACTTCCCTCCCAATAGGAGGTCCCCAGAGCACCTCCAGGCCACCTTCCAACCATGGAGGCATTTATTGCTCATCTCCTTCATCTCCCTCATCTCCCTCATCTCCCTGTGGTGGGGCAAGCAGCTCTTGGCATTAGAAGACTTGGGTGTGACTCTGGCTTGGCTATTGGTGACTATGACTCAACATTTCCCAAAGAAGTTCCACTGAGCAGTAGAATTCTATGACATAGTAAACAGGAATAGTGTATCAGCTAGCTATCACCACTGATGATGATGCTGTGTAACAAGCAACCCCTAAACTCAGTGGCATAAAATGATTGGAATTTATTTTTCACTCATGCACCTGCCGGTGGTCTGGGACAGCTCTGCTCCATGTATCTTATTCTAGGGTCAAGTAGGGAGGGCTGGCAGCCCCTGGAGTATGTTCCTCTCTTGGAGAATGGAAAAGCCCAAAAGGCAAATGGAAACATACAATGTCTCTTAAACTATGGGCTGGAAAGTGCCACACTGATACCTCCATCCTCATTCCATTGGCCAAAACAAGCACTGTGGTCAAGCCTTTCATCAATGAGGATGAGGAAGTTTACTCTTTCCATAACAGTTTAGAGAGGAAGAGTGGATTTTGTTGTATAATGACTTAATTCACTGCAAGTTGCATGGGAAAAATGTCCTATGGTCAAATTAATTGGGGAAACAGGTTTTTTTTAAGTGAAAAAGAGGGGCACTTGGGGGGCTCAGTCATTTGAGCATTCGACTCTTGGTTTCAGCTCCGGTCATGATCTCAAGGTTGTAGGATCAAGCCCCACATCAGGCTCCAAGCTCAGCAGGGAGTCCTACTTGAGATTCTATCCCTCTTTCTGTCCCTCTGCCCCTTCCCCCCTCACGTGTGCACATCTGCGTGCACTCTCTCTCTCAAATAAATAAATGAATCTTTAAAAAAGTGAAAAAGAATTGAGGTTTTAGAGATTGGGGAGGGGGTGTCAGTTTCTTTAAGAAAGTCAAACAGCTGTCAGAGTCTTTAATGTATGTGCTTGTTCCAAAGCTTCAACTGGGATATGTAGAATATGATGCTTTCTGACAGAAGTAATTTTAAGCAAGGTTGCTGGAGATCATGGGCAAGTCACCTAACCACTCTGAGTCCCAGGTGTCTAGGCTATTTTAACCAGAATTATGATATCTGCCCCAGAGGGTGATCCAGCGAAGCCGTGAGATGAGGCGTGTGCTGGATTATAACACAAGGTTGGGTGCACATAGGTGCACATTCACTCCTGTGTTTGGTCCATCAAGAACCCCAGGGGGTCAAAAAAGGAGCTCTTTAGC